CCAATTAAATCGAGGAGCAAATAAGATGTAATGATTATCAGTGGAAGCTTACCAGTGGAGGCCTAATTCTGGACGGCTTGGGCGTTGATGCTGTAGAATGCCCCTGGCCGGCAGAAAAACACTGTGGGGTTGGGGGATAAGTCCGAATATGCAACAACTTATTCACGGATTCTTGGCCTTTAACGTCAATACCAATTGGGGTGTTCTCTCCATCTCCATTCCTTCAGCAAGGACATACATACATTAACCACGCCAATGTTAATCATGTTCATTTACATCTAGAATTTAATCATGTTCATTTACATATAAGTAGAAGGCATTGCAAAAGTATTGCAAAAATCGTTATGGTTATTTCAATCTCATTTTCGCAAAGAAAATATCATCTGCCAGTTCTCTTCGAAGAGAAAACATTATATAAGTTTTGCGTACTAATTAAGGTCTCAGCAAGCAGTAGAAAGTTAACATTTGCATTAGGAAAAATCAGTTATCTATTCAGCAGAACGAGAAAAGCGGGGGGAAAATAGAAACTTCACTTTTTCCTCCTCAGCTTCACCGTAGAGGCACTGCTCGTCCCCAACACCTCGCTTTTCTCTTTATTCAGCTCCAGCAATGGCTTTCTCTCCTTTTCTTGATCGTTCAAAGCATCTAAATTCTCATCCGCACGATCTTGAGCCCCCTGTTGGCTTTTCGCATCATCATAATCCAAATTCTCCCGACCTCTCGCCCGAACCGCCAGTTTCTTCAAGTCGTTGCAAAACTCAGCAACTTTACTCAGTATGGTGTCCCCACCTGAGAACAGGTTTCTAGCTGATAAAGTGCTTCTGAGCTTAGGCGCACGTTCGTTCTTCATCATTGGGTTGTCTTTGGTCGGTTTGTTATCCGCACTGGATTTAATTGCCTCTTTTCCGGCTTTTATAGATTTGTGGTTTGTGGGGGTCGATAAATTGGGGTCTTGATTTTCGCCGTCCTCAATGTCCCTGTTGTGCTTGGTGCCCTTGTTTGATAACCCAAAGGGTTGATTTAACCCTCTCTTCTTGAGTGTTGCATCTCTTTAATTGTTAAAAGAAGGAAAAAGTTAGGATGTATTGGAAATTCAAGAGGATAGTAAACATTTGCAGACATGCAATTTTCGCTTATACCTCTTCAATTTATCACCGAGTGGAGGAATGTCGGATACGCTAACCGATCTCCGGTGCTGCAATAAAGCAATTAACTACGAAAGTGAGAAAATAATTACAAACACCCGATTCAAATGAATTTTGTGCAAGCAATGAGCTGACGAAGATGAGTATACACAGCTGGATGAAAGTGAGATCTTACGAAAATGGAGAAGAAAAAATGTTTCCCCACACGATTATTATAACAGTATTCGTGGAGATACCAACAAACAGAGACTTACGAAAAATAAGCATAAAGGGCATCAAATCCAAGCAAGAATGGACATAAAATGGAAAATTGATGTGCAGGCTTGGTAAATTATGCCAGTTAGCTACAGAATCTTATGAAAGCTGCAGAATCTGTTTCAGTTCAGTCCAATATTTTCCAAATGACACAACAATCATCACAAACCAATTAACCCACAAATCTACTAAATGTTCCTGCAAAAAAACAAAAACAAACAAGATATGGGAAAGAACATAAACCTTAGAGCTGGAATTGGGCGTCCTCTTCTCCTCATTTAAGAAATCTTCAGCTGTCTTTGGGTGCTTACAACCTAATTAACAGAACCCAATATAAGAGGGAATATGAATCAGTACCAAAAAAAAGTGAAACTTACGCAAAACATTAATGTCTTCTTTTTTTCATTTCTCTTTTTTTGCCCTAATTTTGAGGACTTACTCGAACGACAAAACCAGGCGTCGTCATCAAGGGGCTGATCTGGGGCAGAGAAATCAACCCATTTTGGTGCGTTTATATGCTCGTACAGCTCGTCCTTGACAAATCTCGAATCTATGCTTTTCCAGTCAATAATGGCCACCTCCATGCGAGATTCTAATGAGCTTAAATTATCTTCTTTCCCAAATCGGAAAAAAGGGGGAAAAGAGAGAAAATTTGTAGAATCGCAGAAAAATTATGAAAGAAAAAGTCGAGCAGTGAAAGAGAGAGGACGAAGGAAGACGAAGAGCTTGAGAATGGCCGTTATCAATGGGGGTCACAGGGTTTTGCTATTTTAGTTCTGATAAATTTTATATTCATTTTTATTTATTTTTTCGACCGTTGGGAGATTTTTTGCTTTCACATTTATTTTGTGACGATCAACGTCTATTCTCCAGCACCTGAGATGAGGATGGTAACGTAAATATTAGACTTTCATAAATGATGTTTTTTTTACCGTGTATGTATGTGTACAATTGTTACCTTCTCCTAGGTTAAACTTTAGGGATAAAGTTTAGGGAACTAGTGCAGTCCCGATGACGGAATGGTTCCGTCAGTGTTGGTTGTCGTAGATTATCCACAGAAGATGATCTTTATGTGTATCTAATGGTGTAAAACACTGACGGTACCATCCCGTAACGGGACCTTAAAATTTTCCTAAAGTTTAACACATATTTGAAGCTTGTGACTTTAGCACAAGAGATTTGGGGTAAACTTTAGCACATATTTGAAGCTTGTGGGGTTAAAGGCTCATTCTTCTATAAGATTTTTTGGGTTCCCTTTTGGTATTGGGGAATCAAAAAGAGAGGCCTTTGATTTTGTGGTGCAGACAGTAAAGTATAGGTTGATCCGTTGGAAGAATAAATTTTTATCAGTTGCAGGCAAAGAATTTTTAATTAAAGATGTGATCAACTCTCATTCTATGTTTGTCGTGACATGTTTCAAGCTTACTGCAGGTATTTGTAAAGAGATTGCTCAGCTCATTGCTCATTTGTAGTGGAGTAAAAGGAGATGATCACTCTAGGGACATCCACTGAAAGAGCTGGAACCTACTCACTGTGCTTAAGAGACAAGGAAGGTTAAGATTTCAAGACATAAGATTGTTTAATGAAACCCTCATTGTGAAGTAGTTTATGGAGGATTTCCACTCAGCCTGACCTTCTTGTCAACAAAATCCTCAAGAATAGGTACTTCTCTAATATTTCCATATTTGAAGCTGTTAAAAAATCCTCCTCGTCCTGGTTGTGGAATACGTGACTTTAGGTGCTGCTTGTGTTCAAAATAGACATGGCCACGGGCTGAACCGGCCAGTAGCCCGACCCGTGAACCGGTACCAGCCCGGACCGAACCGGCACCGGTACCGGCATGAACAGTGGCGGGCTTTTGAACCGGACCGCGACCAATGCGGTCCGGTTAAGGTTCTCCTTTTTTTTGACCCGTCGGGCCGGGACCGATTTCGGGCCGGTTTTGGTTTTTCCGACGGGTCATAGTTTTTTTTATTTTTTATTTTTTATTTTTTAATTTTTTTTAACCCGGCGGTTTGACGAACCGCCGGGTCGGGCCGGTTCAATTGAACCGACCCATAGGAATTGTCGGGCCGGTTACGGGCCCAACAATTGAGGCTCGTCGACCCGACGGGCCGGGCCGGGCCGGGCCCAGACCCGACACCTGACATGTCTAGTTCAAAATGGGTTTCTGGAGGGAAGTTAGAACAGGTAGAAACACAAGGATACAGGATGAAGGATGGGTGCCTAAGCTGGGTGTACTGCTTCGAAAACTAAATAGTAGTTCAAACATCTCTCTTCCTTGGGTCAGTGATTTAATGAAGAAGTCAAGGTGTAATTGAAATGAAAATTTAATCATAAGTTTATTCTTTGAAGATGATAGTACTGTCGTCCTTGGCATAGATACCATCAACCCTGAAAGAGAAGATAGATGGAGGTCGGCCTTGACCAAGAAGGGTCTATTTTCAGTTGCTGACTCTTATGCATATTTACAAGAAGAAGTGAAACTGAATGATATAGCCTAGGGAAGTAACTCATTCAGGGTGGATTCGGTGGTGAGGAGAAAAAGTTGGAAGTTGAGAATCAAAAGGAAAATAAAACACTTCATCTCGAAGTGTTTTACTGGAATTCTCCCTATTAGTTTGAATCTAAATAAGAGAGGTCTTGATGTCGATGCCATCTGTAGATCATGTGAAGAAGTTGAAGGATCTATTGAACATGCGTTTCTTCATTGTAGCGGATCTCCCATTCTTTCAGGAGAGTTGGTGTTTTCATGTGACTTTATTATTCTTTGGGAAAGCTATTGGCGGCGTGTGACTTCTTTATTCGACTGGCTTTTTCTTTCTTTTCTTTCTTTTTTTTTTTTTTTGTCTGCTAGAAGAGTTTAGATATTGGCTCCAATCTTTTGGGATGAGATTCAATCAGAGGTCGGTACCTTTAAATAGTGGTGGTGGCAAGTGTGTGCTATTGACATATTTGAAATTTTTGAAGGTATAATTCAATTGTTGACCTACATTCTGTGGTGGTTTTGAAGGTCTAGGAATCTGTGGATTTTTTACTTAGAGAACTTGCCAGAGACAGTGATCATCAATAGAGCTATGCTGGAATGAAGAGAAATTTGTTCTGTGCATTAGCTTCTGCTTCTTTGCTTTTGGAGCCGTCTGTGGGGTTCCTCCGGTTCTCTAGTTTATTTAGCTTTAGATTCGTTTTTGTTAGTTTTTTTTTGCTTTTGTTTAGTTTTCTGAGTTTGGTGCTTGTGGTTATGTTGTTTGGCTGTGTTAAGTTTCAGGTGGATGTACCTGCTTGCCACTCTTGTGGTTTATAGGCTTTGTATAGGCCACTCTGTATAGTGGTCCTCTCAATTCATTTTCCTACCTGGTGGTAGGGTTCGGCGTTTGTATTTTGCACTTGTTAATGTTTTAATGAGTATCTTTTATTGTTGAAAAAAAAACACTATTTTTTTT